GGATCGGAACGGTAGTTAGGAACTCGACCACAAGAAACCTTCCACAAGAATCCCAACCCTGACACCCCAGGACGTCCATTGATTTTCGGTGCGGTAACGTCACGCTTTCCATCGCAAGACCATGGACACCCAAGGAACCCAGGGCACCCTGGAGGCAAGCAGGCTGCCTCTTGGCATGGGCCTCCACTGTGGGGGATCGAGGATCGCGGAACCACAGGAGGACCGAGGACCGAGGATCGGTGCCTGCGGGGGGCGCCCCCTCCCGGCATGCGCCCCGACCACGAGATCTCGAGGCGGGCTCCGCCGTGGCGACGAGGGCCCTCCCAGAGCGCCCCAGCTGCGCGAGTGAACACTTCTCGGCGGCGCGCCCACGGGGGGGAAGGCAGGGGGAGGAGGGGCTGGGGCCTGCTCCGAAGGCTCAGGAGGCCTGCGGCCTTCGGAGAAGAAGACGAGGCCAGGACGAAGATAACATCGGGTACAGCGGAAGCCCATGCCAAGAAACACCCTGCTTGCCTCCAGGATGCCCTGGGTTTCTTGGGGTGTCGATGGTTCTGCTATGGAGAGCGTGGCGTTCCCCCTCCAGAAATCAATGGACGCCCCGGGGTCTCAGGACTGAGTTTCTTGTGGAAGGTTTCTTGTCGACTAGCCTCGACTGTAAGGGTGAATCGAGAATCTCTGAGATCCAGCGGTGCTGGCGGATATCTCGGGCGCCGCGGCCTTCTCAGAGCGTTCCGAAACGCCCTGAGAGCGTTCTGGAGCGCTCCGGAACAGATGCGTTTTCCTCCTAGCCCCGTGCGAAGACTCGGGGTGGCCTGACGGGGCCAATCAGGTAAACGATGCCACCCAATTTGAAATTTGATGCAAACTCCCGCTGCAAACATCCCGCAAACACCGGAACATCAAGATTTGACAGAGCGTGATGCACCGCCGCTTTACTGTGGAAAATTGCCCCCCTCTTCCTCCGGAACCCGGGGGTCCCCCCCCCCTTCCGAAAATCCCCCCCTCCCCTGCTGGACCCCCCCCTTCCCCCCCCCCTCCCCCTCGAAACCCGTGGGGGGGTCGCTACCGGTTCGAGAACCCCCCCCCCCCACTCACCGCCAGCAGCGACTCCCGGTCCTTACCACTCCCGCGCCACATCCCCCACTGTTGTTCCCAGCACCACTGTCCTCACCACTACTGTCCCCACTGGTTCCACCACCGTCCCTAGTGTCCCCACCAGTGTTCCCACCACTGTCACACTGTCCCCTGTGTCCCCGCCACTGACCCCACCACGGCTCCACTCTCCCCACTTTCTTCACGGCCCCAACCAATGCCCGACTATCCCCACTGTCCCCACTGTCCCACTGACTCCTCCGCTGTCCCACTGAGTTGTCCCACTGTTCCCACCACTGTCCCCAATGTCCCCACCACTGTCCCCACTGTATTTCTGTCCCATTGTCCCACCGCCGTCTCGCCACCGCCTTCACCACTGTCCCCACCACCACTGTACCCTCCACTGTCCCACTGTTTCCACTTCCCCCTGTCCCCACACCACTATCCCCACCACCACCGTCCCCACCACTGTCCAGTGTCCCCACTGTCCCCTCTGTTCCCACCATTGTCCTCACCAGTGTCCCCACCACTACAGTCCCCACCACTGTCCCACTGTCCCTACCACTGCCCCGCTGTCCCCTCGCCAGTGTCCCCACCACCACCGTCCCCACCACTGTCAGCACCCCCCCTCGGCCTTCGAGGAGGGGGGGGGTTCGAACCGGTAGTGACCCCCCCCTTTTCATGATGAACTGCGGTGGGGGGAGGGGTTCGAACCGGCAATGACCCCCCCCGGTTTTCCGGAGGGGGGGGGGAGGGGTTCGAACCGGTAGTGGCCCCCCCGGTTTTCCTCCAGCAGCGGTAGAACACGCTCTTTCCAAGATTTAGGACGGGCCGCCGCAATTCGTCGGCAGACCCGAGTTTCGGCGAACCCGAAGCTGATGTTTCCCCGACGCGTTCCCACCTCCCCTTGCGGAGGTTCGCGTCCGCATCGGACACTCTGCGCTACCAGAGACTCATCAAGCTGGAAGCGTGGCGGCATGGGTACCTGTTCCTCCTCTGTTGGCGGCGCCGAGAGGGGGGTAGGGAGGGAAGGGGGGTCTTCTTGGAAGAAGGCTGCTTCTTAGAAGGCGCTGGCCCCACACCTATAGACAATGCCCGCGCCTTGGAAGAAGCAATCTCCTTCTCAGAAGCCCCCCTCCCTCTATCCTACCCCCCTCTGCAGACCGACGGACAGACAGGCCCGCACTCCAGGCCCGCAGGGCGGTCCTCTCGCAAGGCAGGCGCACGGGGTCCGCAGTCCCGCACACTTGAACTAGGGTGGCTAGCCGTGCGCTGACGCGCGTGGAGAGAACGCTGCAATTGCTTGATTGGCGCCAATGCATCACACCACGCGGCGCCAAACTGGCCGCGCCAGAATTACCAAAACGCTCGACCAGAATTAACCAGAATTACCAAACACCCGCGACCAGAATTAAGTAGACCCAATAGCATCGCATACAACTCAATGCCAAGAACACACCAATTGCCAACGGAGGGCGCAGTGGTCGAGGCCGAGAGGGGAGGGGAGGCGAGGCGGGATCATAGCGCGGAGGGCGAAAAGGGGGAGGGGCAGCAGCAGCGGCAGCGGGAGCGCTAGGTTGAAGAAAGGAGGCGATGACCAGGTCCGACGACGCCGGCGCGCATTTTAACGGCCGAGGGCGCGCTCCCACAGGTGCGAGAGCATCGCACTTGCACGCCTCTCATCCGTCGGTGGCTCTGCTCGAATTCGCACTGATGGGCGGGCGGGTCGGGGGGGGGGGGGGGGGGCGGCGCGACCCGAATCGGCGTCATCGGCGCATGGCCGATTGACTGGCGACAAGCCCCCGATAGTGAGACAGCACGCCCTAGGCAAAGTTGCTCGAGGTCGAAGCCCCCCCCCCCCCCCCCCCCCCCCCCCACGCGCTCCAGGGACAGCCCCGCGCTGGTCGCGCGCATCTTGCCCGCGCGCTCGGCGGGCCATGGGAAGGAGAGGAGGAGGAGAAGAAAGCGGAGGGTTTTGGAAGGAGAGGAGGAGGATCTGGGGGAGGAGGAGGAGGGAGGACGAGGAGAAAGAAGGGTGCGGGAGTGGAAGCCCAGACCTCAGTCGGTCGAGCTGCTGCTGTCGCTGCTCCCGCTGCTCGCCGACGCCTTGCTGGCCTTGGGCTTGGCCTTGCGCTTGCCCTTCCTGCCCTTGCCCGGCGCCTTGGCCTTGGCCGCCGCAGCCTTGGCCTTGGGCGCCGCGGCCTTGGACTGCGCCTTGGCCTTGGGCGCCGCGGCCGGGGCTGGCGCCGGGGCGGCGGGCTCGGCGGGGGCCGCCTTCCGCGGGAACGGAGGGGGGGCGATCTCGTCCGACTCAAATCCTGGCTCCCCCCACTTCCCTAGAATCCCTACCCCCATCCTCCTCCCCGGCCTCATCGTCCGCCTCTTCCTCATCTCGCTCTTCGCCCCGATCCTCATCGTCCGCCTCGTCTGCGGCGAGCCTCGGGCCCTGGCTTGCCAGCCGCCGCCTGGAGCGCCGCGGCGACGTCGGCGCCGACGTCGGTGGCCTTCTCGGCGACGAGCTGGATGAAATGCTCCTCGCAAGCTTGAATGGAGGGGCGAGGTCCTCCTCCCCCTCCTCCACCTCCTCCTCCTCCCCCGTGACCGCCTCCTCCACCTCCTCCGCCTCCCCTTCCCCCTCCTCATCCTCATCCTTCTCCCTCCCCCTTAGCCCGGGCGAAGAACAGCACGTTCGCGATGACCACCGCGTCAACGGCGTGCTTCGCCGCGTCCGCCACCGCGGAAATGGCCTCAACGCCCGCGGCGCCGTCGACGAGGCGCTTGTTCGGCGCCCGGGCCGCGGCCGCGATGGACGAGGCGTGCGCCGCCCTGGCCCCGAGCTCCTTGCAGTGCTGAGATTTGACCAAGCTCAACGTCAGCTGCGTCTCATTCATGAGCCCCCCGCGGGCGTGGACCTCGCCGAGGGCGGGGGGGGGGCGGGGGGCGAGAGAAAGGGAAGAGGAGGAGGAAGGGGGGCAGGGGGTGAGGAACCAACAACACACACCCATACCCATAGGGGGGTCGGAGAGGGCTATGGGCGCGCGTTGTCGGACGCGGGTCCCCGCTCGAACGGGGGCGTTCCCCAGGGCCCGACAGCCCGCGCCCATGCCCGCAGCCAGTCCTCCTCTCAGAGACCGAGACCCCCCTTATGGGCGCGGGCGCGCGGTGCTCGTTCGACAAGGGGGGGGGGGGGGGGGGGGGCGGCGGAGGAGGGGGGGGGGAGTTTTCTAGATTTTCGGTTGTCCAGGTTCAGCATTGAGACCAGATTCGTTCACATTCGCTAGAAAGGGGGGAAAGCGAGGTAGGAGGAGAAGGAGGGGCGACCAACCATATCAGACGGCGCTGATCGACCTCGCATCCACCCCCATGGATGATATTGGGGGTGGCGGAGGGGGGGGGGGGAGGGGGCGCGAGGATGAGGACCCCCATGAGCATCCCGCCCCAGGAACGCACCCGATCGGAGCGCAGTCTCTGGGCGCGGCGCCCGCGGCACGCACCAGGACGACAGCTCCGACGCTTCCTTCTCGAGGATAGCAGTCCACGCCTCCCGGGCGGCAGCGACGACCCCTTTCAACTCCTGCTCGAACTCAGCGGCGGCAGTCGGCACGGCGAGGACACCCTTGAACGGCGCCACCGCTCTAGGAGCGTCGAGCGCGAACGTCGGATCCTCTGATGCCCCGCCCCCGAACGGGGAAGAGGACGGGGCCCGGGGGGGGGGCGGGAAAGGAGGAAGGGGGAAGGGGCGGGTGGGGGGGCGCGGGGGCGAGGGAGGAGATGGACGAGGATGGGGGCGACGGGGGCGAGGTGGACGGGGGTAGGGGAACGAAGTGCCTCCGCCCGCATCATCCTCAGCACCCCCCCTCCTCTGGCACCCTCCAACCCTCATGCGCCCCCCCCGTCCCCCGACCCGCCCGGTCCAAAGTGGCGGCCCGGACGTGGGCGGAGTACGCGGAGATCTGCGCGTCGAGAGTCACGAAAAGCTCGACGGCTTCCTGGGTCAAGAGCCCCTGCCTGAGATACCTCACGCACGACGCCGCCGCAGATCTCGCATCACACAAGCACTTGATGTAGACGACCTCGGCGCGAAGCACGCCGTCGCTGATCCTGTCGGCGAAGCCAACGAGCTCGCGAAACGCATCGTCCGCCGTCGCAGAACCAAGCGCGCGGTCGACGGACGCATCGTCGAGGGCGGTCGTCAGTTTGATCGAGAACAGCTCCTTGTTGAACGTCTCCGTCGCCTGGCCGAACAACTGATCGGCCTGCTGACCCAGCATCCGAGACGCGCTTCCCTGGAGAGCTTCGTCCTGCAATAACTCTCGAGAGCGTCCTCCAGGCATGGGAAATCATCGACGAAATCTGATATAATAGACTGCACATAGGCCGCGCACTTGTTGAAGGCAACCACGTCGTCGACTGACATCTCCGTGCCAGCCTGCTCCTTCGCGAAGGACATCTTCAAACTGACCACATTGTCGAAGAATTTGAAGCACTCTCTGCAGACAGCAATGTCATCGCGAGATCCAACAAAGAGCCAAGACGCCTTGGACGAGAGCGCCTCGATGTCCGAGAAGACCTCGCGCGCGACCTCGAAGTGGCTGACAGGTCGCGCCTCGATCGAAACACTACCAAGCCCGAACATGACGAATGGGTCTGGCCCTTCTGCGCGCAGGGGAGGGGGGCAGGACGCCGCCAATGCACCGAAGAGTGGGCCCGACGGCGGGCCGAAACCAGCAAATTACGAAGACTGCTGCGCTACTGGGCCCGACTCATTCCTCTGCTCTGCTGAGCTCGAGTCGCCACGCCCCCCGCGACACAATGAGATCATCCTTGCTTGCCATCAAATCATGTCACCCTTTCCTCCTCCCTCTCCTCGCTCATCCGACACGGCCCCGGGGTGCGGTGGCAGCCTCGGCATCCTGGATAACGATGGTCAAGGCGTCAATGCACACAAGCGAAATGTCTAACGTGAGCGTGGTACAGAATCCTGCCAACGTTCCAATGGTCACGTGGCTAACAAGCTCGGGCCCCTGTGTGCCCAGCTCGCTGAACGCAGCCGCCAAGGTCTCGATGGTGGAGGCGAGGTCGGAATAGCATACATCGATGGAGGCACTCCTGTCCGTTAAACTGCAGCGGTCATTCATAGCCATCAACGACCTCTCGCATGTATCCTTGGCGAGCTGCGCCACGTTGCACGCGACATCCTGCTCCTTCACGTAAGCGCGCGCCTTGGACCACAATGCGCGGCCGTGCATCACCTTTTCGAAGAGGGCGGGCAGCGCATCAGCAACCGTGGCATAGTCCACCGACGTCTTTAAGTTTACCATGGTGGTCCAATGGATGCAAGAACCAGGGCTGACGTGCAAATCAACGAACTCGTTCGTATCTGGCTGAAACTGGCTCACGGTGACGAGGCAAGGCTTCGTGTACAGCTGGGCCCTGTGGTGGTTGATGATCCGGGCGAGGCGCTGGATCTCGCCGGACAAGCTCGGGGCAACCGTGGGCGCCGAAAACTTTTCGTTGGCGTCGTGCGGGATGAACAATTCCAAAGCACGCTCAGCATCGGCGAGGGCGTCCTTTCCAGCGAGCTTCAGCAGCTTGTTCGCGAACGCATCCCTCACGAGCTCTCCATCGTACTCGAAGCCACTCGCCTCCAGAGTCGCTCTGTCGACCAATCCCCAGAACACATTCGGGGACGAACTGCTCTCAATCCGCGCAAGGTGCCTGTTCCGCAAGAAGAAGGCAGGGACAGGCGAATCGGCTGCGGGGGCAATCGAAAGGAAAGCTGTCTGACTGTCGTACGCAGCAGCAAACTTCGGACCAGTGAACCTGTCAGTAGCCCCATCGGTCGTGATGGCCTTGCACATATCAATGATGGCGGACAGCTGCTTCTTGCTCTGCAAATGCGATGTCGCGTCACCACCTGTACCCTGGATATGGTTGATATGCTCATCAATGTCGTCGGATAACCGCTTGCACCAGCGCGACTGGGTCTTCTTCCAAGCGCCGCCGAAATACAGGTCCGAGGTGTGGTCGACGGCCACGAACTCGTCGACCAACTCGGAGATGGTCTTCACGAGGTCGCGCTTCTTTGGCCCAGGCTGCGGCTTGCCGCCTGGCACTGGCGCTGCACCGCCACCAGCTGGACCGGCAGGGGGGGCGGGTGGCATTATATCACGCAAGGCTTGTCTGTGCTGGCCGCGCCGCCCCCTCCCTTTGCCCTGCTTGTTCGACTGCGCGGGGGGGGGGGGGGGCGGCGCCTGCGCAGGCTGGCTCAGCACGAACCCGAAGCTGAAACCGCTCTGCAGACCGCCGGCTGACGCCGCCCCGCTCGCGCCCAATGGCGGAGCTGTCAGAGGCGTCGCGGCTGAGGGCGGTGCTAAAGGGGTCGGGATGAATGCCCCAGTTGCACGAGGAAGCGAGTCCACCTGATTATCCACAAGGTCGTCAGTGCCGCCGCCGTTGTAAAGAACCCTCGTGTCCACCATCTCCCTGCCTTCCGTGCGGCGGATTTTCCTGATCGGGGCCGTTGGTACGCACACTTCATGTTTACCATAAGCCCACGTCTCAGCGTGTCCCTTGCCATTCGTTTTGGGGTCACCGAAGAGCGAAACAGAATGAGAATACTCGTACAACTCGTCAACGGGCTCCTCGATCTCGGTCCGCTTCCGGGCCACGTGAGAAATGGAGCGGTCGTCCATCTGCTTCCACGACCTTGCGGCGGCACGATCGAAGCGGGAAAGGTCGCGGGCTGGGCAAACCGATCGACCATGCGTGGGCATGCACCATGCCCGCGCCATTTGCCACATAGCCCCCCCCCCCTCCCCAGGCTCGAGAGGAGCCGCATGCGGCCCCAAGACCAACCCAGACGCCCCTGAGAAAGTTCAGCCAACCCAGACGCCCCTGAGAAAGTTCGCGGCGAAGGAGAGCTTGCGGCCCAAGACAGGCCCACATACGAGCCCCCGATAATGTTCCAAGAGGGTCATCATGGGACCCTGCGTACCATCCAAGACATGCCAAACTATAAAAGCCCTTGCCAGGTGGATAGGACGGGCAGAAGCGGGGGGATGGGGCAGAGGTGGAAGCGGACAAGGGGGGCATAGGTAGAGGGGACACCCACTCCCCCACGCGCCTTCCGCCCCATCTCTCTGACGGCCGCGCCTCTGCAGAAGATCAAACAACGGGCGCGCCTGTCGCGGCCAGACCAATCGTGACCGAACGACTGCGGTTCGCCGCTGAGCCAATGACACGCGGGCCAACCTCCCGTCCGGGCTGGCCTTGTAGAACTCGATCACCTTCGTCCGCGTCACCGAGACAGTCTCGCGGAGGTCGCTGTCCACCCCCCTCTTCGCGACTAAGCTCTCCACGGAAAACCCATTGGGCTTGTGCAAGGCTTTCCACACCTGCAGGCAAAAGTAATCGATGTCGCCCATCTGCTTGCCAGTCCGCCAGCTCGGGTGGGACCAGCTGAGCTCCTGCGCGGTCGTCACCCGACGACAGAACAAAGTGGCCACGACGCCCCGGTAGCGCTGGCTATGCGACGGCCCATGGCGAAAGGGGCCCGAGAGGTCTACAAGGGAGCACCCAGTTGACCCCAAGAGGGGCCCAACGCAAGTGGCGTCACGCCACTTGCTGTTGGGCCATCGTGGGACCCCATCGGGCCCATCTTAGGGCCCTCTTGGGCCCCTCTTGGGCCCGCGCGAAGGCCCCGAGAGGCGCCCAGGGAGGACAGGGGGCCGAAGGGGAGGACACCGGGGCACCATGGCGGCCCCCGAAGGACCCCAACAAGGCCCCAGGAGAGCCCCTTGTCTAACACGTTTTCTCATAATTGTCTAACACAGGGGGGTGTTGAAGTATCCGTTGGGGCCCCTCTTGGAACCCGCTTGGGACCACCTTGGGACCCCCTTGGGGCCATCTTAGGACTCGCGTGGGCCCCTGGGCCGCGTTGGGGCGATGCCCCCTCGCCTTCTCCTGCGTCATCATCCCCGTGCAATGGGGCGAGGGGAGGGCGAGGGGGCATGAAATCATCAGCGGTGCCCTGCGGCAGCAGGGCAGCGCCAGCAGCAACAGCTGCAGTAGCAGCAGCATCCGCAGAGTGCGAGGGAGGCCGAGCCTGGGTGAACCCGTTCGCAGCGTCAACTGGGTCGTCCGTCGTGTCCGCGAGCGCGCAGATGACGCAGCAGCGACCATCTGGTGGGCCGCCGATGCGGCAGAACGCCTTAGGAATGGCCGTCGACGCAGGCTCGGCATCCATGGAACCGACGTCGCCACCCGAGTCACCACGTTCCGCCCGCCGCGCTCGCCGATGAGGGCGCGAGCGTCCAGATGATGGCGGCGGCGGCACATCAGCGCGAGCGGCGCCCGCGGCACCCGCCTCCTCACGCGCGCTCGCGCGGGGTGGTGAACCCGCCGAGCCACGCATGACCTCGAGGGAACTGCCACCAGCATCCACGGCTCCGCGAAGCCGCACCCGGCGGGCTGAGATCGCCGAGGCCGCATCACACCCCAAATGCGACATCGTGGCAGCAGCCCTCCTCGGCCGTTTGATTCTGGCGATCGGTAGCTGGAAAGCATAAATGCTGAGCAGCCGAGAGCGGCGATGTCATTGGCCATCCAAATGCACATGATCATGGTCGTACTCAACCACCACATCTTCGTCGCAATCATCATCATCATCAACATCATCCTCATCATCATCATCGTCATCATCCTTACCAACCTCCTCATCATCGCCATCCGCCCCCATTCATCATCATCGGACGGCCTGGGCGCCAAGTACGATAGGCGCCGCCGCATCTGCAGAGCCCCCCCCGAGCGACGGGGCACAGGGCCCATGACCGATTGCCAGCGCAAATGGTAGCCCAAAACAACATCGGGTTTTTGCGAATCGCACCCGGCACGGGCAAGATCAGCAAAAAAACAAGAAGGTTTTAACTGTGCGGGAACCTTCCCCTCATCATCCATACCTCTGAAAGGCAGCGTGGTCGTTCGTTTGGTTCCACCCCCAAGTGCCCCTCTCCCCCCAGGAGGTGAAAACCGATGCCGAGTTTTACGCGCCGATGCCCACTCGGAACCTCTACTTGGCGACGCGTGCGCGCGTGCGTGCGCGTGTGTTTGTGTGTGGAAGGGAGGGGGGGGGGGCTCGGCATATGAGGGGGCACAGAGGATGGGTGGGATGGGGCACACCCACAGGCGGGAGAAGCGAACGGGCAGGGCAGCCTGCAGGGGCATAAGAAGGGGGCATGGGGACCACCAGGCACAA